ACTGTGACGTGCCGTGTGACAAACATATATATACCAATCTAGTAATGTATAATTTCGTAGGGGGTTTTGTCCCCTGAACCCTTTCCAAAACTTCACCATTGCATGCAGATTACTTTATATCTTCAGAAAAGGAATTTAAAATATGCTTTCCTGAATTCTATGATCGAAATATTTTTAGTTCTTTTTTGAAAAAGTTCTGGGGTAAAATTAATTTCTTGGTTTGAAAAATAATCCTCAAGAAAAGAAATCAGTCACAGAATTTGTGTCATATCTAAAAGTGATGGGACATAGTTTCCATCTGTGTCCATTTGTGCTCCACTTGTGTCCATTTCCAAATAATCTTTGCGTAAAAGACACCTCCTTTACAAATGAAAACGAAGAATAGATTGGAAGTTAAAAATGATGCATGTTTTACCTTTGCAAGCACAATTCCATGTACCCAAAAATCAGCAGGTGAAAACGAATCACAGGCATCCCATTCTTGAAGTATTAATTTATTTCGTTCAAATAATTGGTTTGTTAGTATAAAAAAATTACGAAAGCATTGGTATACAAGAATTTTATGTGATTTTGTCTTTATAATATCTAACATATATTAATAAATAATCAAAATTTACTTATATGTTTTGAGTTTTTTAAATAGAAGAATGAGCTTTTAGCAATGATAAAAATGGAGGAATGGATAAAAAATAAGTTTGGGACTACTGGTTAAACTGTAATAATTAATGTAAAGATGGACACAAGTGGTTTATAACAGCAATCGTCTTCCGGTTTTTAAAAAGCGAAAAAAAGACGTACAAACCTAAAGCTTATTTTAATTAAATTCAGCTCTATAGACAACTACAGTAAAAATCCGTTTTTGACAATTCAAAATAGCAGATAGAATTGAGTGCTTTCACTCCAAGAAAAGAAAACAGCCAATACCCACACATGTGACCTAATCTTAATCAAAGCCCTTGAATTAGAGTACAATTCGATATGAAATATTAAAGTTGAGCTAAGTTTCTCTACATAACTTAAAATGTTAATTAACGTCAAGTTCATTACATTCAGAGTCGTATAGCACATCAAATTTGTTAAAATATAAATATTTTTAGTCTACTTCTTTTACTCAACTTAGAATTATTGTTAGTTTATGTATTTTATTGTAACAGTAATATATACTTCTGTTTTGCGTTCCTAGCAACTTCGATACAAAATAAGTATCGAAGTATATCGAAGATAATAAATATAGAAATACTTCGATACATACACCGAAGAGCCATTACATTACGACCACCCTGCTAATAACATGTAGGACCACCTTTAGCCCTCAAAATGCTAGCACCTGCCGTGGCATTGATTCCACAAGGTGATCTGAAGGTAGTCTGAGGTATCTGGTACCAAGCACTCACAAACTTGTCCTGCAATTCCCTCACATTGCGAGGGGGTAGCGTGGCAGCACAAACTTGGTTTTATAAGTAGGACCACAAATGCTCTATTGGATTAAGGTCAGGGGAATTTGGGGCCAAGAAATGACTGGAATGTTCCTCGACGATTCGACCCTTATGACATGGTGCATTATCCTGTTGGTAAACACCATCCCCCGCAGGAAAAGCTGTTGTCATGGATGGGTGAACCTGGTCTGCAACTATGTTCAAGTAGCTTACAGACGTCAGGGATTGTTCTATGAGGATTATGGGTCCTAATGTGCCCCATGAAAACATTGTTCCTGGGCGAGAAACCATGAAAACCTGGGCGAGCCCATTGTTATAGATGGAGGGTGGTCATAATGTAATGGCTCTTCGGTGTATATATATATTTATATATAATAACTATAAAATAAAACTATACGAAATTAAACACAAAACATACTTTCTCTGAATAAACATATTTTTTTTTGCGGATTAGGGTTTTTTAGCTTTAAAATATGGGGGGGAGGGAGAAGCCGCAATCTGAGAAATAAGGTCTCAATAGTTTGGCCAAGAGGACGATCGAAAGTTTGGACCCCTTAATGTAAATTTTACTTTTTACTAATTTCGCCATGTCTCGAGAACGTTTGAAACAAAACGAAAAATATTTTTTCACACAATTATAAAATCCTTTTTTTATCTAAAAATAATTTCACGCACAAAATAATGTTTGATAATATTTCTGTGTGTTTCGTATTATTCGTAATAATAACCGAAGATTTTTTTTAACAGTAATGTATGCAAATTTTTACATCATTTTAAAGAACGTAATTTTAAGTGGCCAAAATATAAAATTTGATCGAATTTGGTCGATAAAAAAAATCGAATTTTAAATATGAAACTATGTAAAAATTTGATAACTCAGAAACTATTTAACCGATTGCGTTAAAATTTCGTACTTATTTAAAATTTAGTGCTTTTAAATTATTTAAATATTTGTATGCCTTATTATTGAAATTGTTTTTAGATTATTGTTGAATGAAATATTAAAAAATAATTGTTAAAAATTACTTTTTGTATGGAGTTATATTTAGATAAATGAGTTTTATGTTCAAAAATTTTTCAATACACTTAAAAAGATCTCAAGATATGAAAAAATACGCAAAAAGTAAAATTAACATTGAGGGGTCCAAACTATACGAATCATACAGATTGCGGCTTCCTCCCACATTTTAAAGGTCAAGAATCCGAATTCGTCGATAAAAATGTATGTTAATACGTAGAAAGTATGTATTTTTGAGTCTGATTTCGTAACTTACACTATCGTCTGCACTCATAAATTTCAGATTAAGCCAACGAACCATTAAGATCGAGTCTTAGTACGTGAAAATCCGATCATTAGTTCAAAAGTTATTTCGGGAGTTCTGTTTTTCATTTTGCACACTGTACATTCGCACTTAATGCTTTCGCGATAAAATACTCTTACTATTTATAGTACCAAAAACTACGCTTTCTCTGCCACGCCAGTACGTTATTATTATTATAATAATATACAGGTATGAGTTACTGATACTCCTTAATTATTGTGTGAAAAGAGTAGTTACCGAATGTCAAGGCGATGAAGATACAAAATGTGACCTTGAGATGCCAATTTTAATTACAAGGGGTGTAATAAAAATACAACGTTCAATTTTTAAATTATGTATAAAATGCCGACTGTGGGTAGCGTTTTCTACACTAAATGGTGCTGCACAGTCTTTATAGCCCATATTTCCGGGTTTCTGCTTAAAGTGTATTTTGAGGCCATTTGGCTCACAAGCTCACTGCGTATTTTAAGACTTTGAGTAGCATTTTTTGCACACAAGTGTTTGTTACCTGATTTATCATTCGTGTTTACAATGAGTTCTACGTCTAAAACTCGAAGTAGCTCTTGCAGTGTAGCTCAACATTTGAAAACATAACATTTTAAAAACAGAATCGCTATAAAACACTCACTACCTTGTCACAAATATACCAATTTCAAAATTTAAACCAAAAGAATATTTCTGAAATGAACTTAGTCTCGTAAAAACACTAACGTATGATGGTGCTTGGCTTGTAACAAGAACAAACAGAAATAAACAAATAACCAATAAAAAGAGTCCAAATCAAGACAGCAAGAAAGAAAAAGAAAAAAAACGAGTTCTTCCGAAATCCACCCATCATCTCTTTTAACAATATATCTATAAATAACTAAAATAAATTTCCACTTTTAAACTCACCAGAAATACTTAATATCAATATCTTATGAAATAGAGCAGATTTGAGCTCAGAAGCAAAATTATCTGTCAGAAAATTGCAAAATAAAAATCGCCTCGAAAAATAAGTTGTAGTAAGCAGCTGTATACTTTCTTACCTGAGGTAAAGGCCTGTTTTTTACAATCCAAGTTCTAGGACGAAGATTGATTGAAATTGATGGAAACTTGTTTTGCTTCGAGCTTGGATCGTGTAAAACAGGGCTGTCCAACTGCAAAGAGCCCACGGACCAAAATTCCGGTCACTGATCACCTGGCGGGCCGCAGTTTGAAAAAGTTGAACAATTAAACTCTTATACAATAACAATTAATAGTTGAATTATTAATTATAAAACAATGGAACAGAAGGATTATAAAACAATTTGCTTACATTTTAATGAGAAAACAGAGGCCGATCAGCCTCAGGGGTGATTGTGAGCTCAAGTCAAAATTCCGGAAAATTTCTTGCGTAAAAAAGAAAAAATTTTCAATCGAAAAAAATTTAAACAAGGTTTTTTCCTTTTTCTCAATATTTCTAAGTTAACTTAAAATATATTTAAAACTTTACACATACCTATGTGGACCTGGAGAAGTAATTGAAATTTAGAAACATGTCTTTCTTTCTTGAGTTTATGATTATAATAACTATTTACTGATAAAAAAATGAATATTAATCTTGAATATAAGCTTATAAAGTATCTGGCTCTCCCTTACAAATAATATAAACTGTGTTTTTTAAGATTTGAAAATTGAAACCTTTAAAACCTTTGAATGAAAAATTAACCTTTGAAAATTTGATTTCCGGAAACTTTTGTAATCAATGATTTTTTGAAATGTCTGAACCTTCGATATCCGGAAACTTCCGGATCACGGTTAGCGAAAAATCCGGAAATCCGGATTTTTTCCGGAGCACAATCAGCCCTGCAATCTGAATAAGAAGTTGGCAGGCCGCACCGCCAGTTGGACAGCCCTGGTGTAAACGATCATCCAAGTCCTTGGACGATAGTAGAGCATGTTCTACTTTCCATCCAAGTTTTTCCTCCCTTAACCAATCAGCTTCTTAAGTTTTGTGAAGTCAACAAGCAGGCATCAGATTATATCATTTTGTTGTCTGTTTTCATATATATTACGCCAAATAAATTAATCTGTTGTAATTGTATTTGGGTTATTATGATTTAATTTGAATTTATTCAGTAATTTTAAATTCATGAAAGTTTGATTTTATAGTGTTGAACATGATAAATGCGCATGTTTTTCTTCTCACCAATCAGCGACATTCAAAAAGTTGGATAGTATGGACGAATCATCCAATTTCTCGGATTCCAGAACTTGGACTGTGTAAACAGGTCTTAAATCAGGTCAACAGCACGAGATTGTTGTTTACATTGAATATTAAAAACATCGTCCTTAAAAAATAACTAAATTTTTAAAAAAATATTTTTCAAAAAATTTTTTTTAATGTCTAAATATAGGTGAAAGTTGTGTTGAATTTTAATTTACCTGATCAAGAAGATGCAATTAAAGGATTTATCCAAGAATTCAAAGATCGAAAACAAGAATCGCGTTTCAAAGATGTCGGCTATGATGGGGGATTAGGAAATATCTCTGCGATTGGCGAATTTTTCAAGGAACTGAATCTGGAAAATATCTGGATGGGAGATGGCATTTTAAACTGCCTCAAAACTTTCTATCCGAATACTCGTCTAAAGGAAGCATTAAAAGTTCGGAACACTGGTGGATTTATTAAAAAAGTTTATGATTGGACCGTAGATAAGAAATCCATGGTGAGAAATTCTTTGGATTTGGAAGTGGATGGTTTTATAACAAATTTTCCTAAAAAAGTACTCAAAGTGCTCAAAGAAGGGAAATATAAAAAGAAGTTCCGAGTTGCGATCAAGTCTGATTCTCCTTTCGAGAAGTTTAAAGGATAATATACATGTAAATCATTTAATAATAGACCATTTTATATTATCGTATTATTGAAAAAATAAAAGCCATTTGCACGAATAAAAATTCCAGAAGTAATCACTTACTACCATGAGCATACTTGGTACTTTTTATTTACGTAGAGCTAGAGCTACACAATGGGCTATTGGCGACGGTCTCGGAAACATCCTTGAGGATGATCCGAAGACATGCCATCGCAATTTCGATCCTCTGCAAGAGGGGATGGCTCCCCTGCTTTGGTAGCTTAATGACCTGAGCGCGAAGTCGAGCACTTTACGGTAGAACGGTTTAACGAGGGCCCCTACGCAGGCTGATCGAAGTGGTCACCCACCCGCTTACTGACGGCTGCCAGTGATGCTTGACTTCGGTGTTCTGCTGGGAACAATTCAGTGCGGGACCACATGAGCATATAGATCCACCAGAATACATAAACATTTTGTAACACGTTTTATTTATTTTATGAACCATCGTATACATACCTTGTTTTAAGTTGTTTACTGTTTTAATACTCATACAAGTTTGATACATATTGGGCAAGTAGTGTGAAATGGAGCCAGAAGAGCACGCGCACCGAATCGTCACTATTGTTGCTATACATACAAAAGTTTATAAAATGTTTTAGTTTTTTTTAAACGTCATTGAGTGAAGATACCTTCAACTCCTTTTTTATGTTCAAAAAGCAAAAAGAGTTATCAAATAAGATTTTTTTTAATTACAACTTTTATATGAAATGTGCATTGGAAAATTCAGACTCTGATTGGCGCAATTTTTGGTTGAACCTGTGCAGTGGAAATGGTCTTTATGTGCTAAAACATAAAATTTTTTTGGTTACATTTTTAAGTATTTACTGTTTTAATTTCTTTTTACTACAGAAATATTTAAAATAATAAGAAACAACTAATTTCATACAAAATATTATGACATTAATACAACATTTATGAACTAGATTGTTCGAAAAATTAGCTGTGTAGCCAATTTTTATAATTTTCAACCGAACTTTATTCACTTTTGGCTTCAAGTCACAGAACTCACCCACTTATTCCCATGTATCAAATTTTATGGAGAAAAAAAATGAGTTGCTGTTGTTTCTAATGCCCCTTGCCACACGGGCAAGCCTGCTTAGTGAAACCGAGCAAATTTAAGGCAGTGTGTTTTTTGTTTTTCAGTGGCGCCATCTATGGCCAAGAATTCGACTTCTGCTTCAGCATACGTCGCACCCGCTTATAGGGCGGACCCATTCTTACATCCATTCATTCATCCACAGATCGCAATTTTGACCTGAATCAGAGAACGATCTATCTCCAATCCAGTACCCCCAGAGGTATTGATTTATGGGAACATGGAGGACTTTTGAGACTCGACAGATTTAACGTGCATCAGTCACTTTACTACACGGGGAGACTTCGGCCGGCAGGGTTCGAAACCACGAACTCTCGGACATGTGCCCGACGTCCTACCGACCAGGCTATCCCGGCCAAAAAATTGAGTTTAATGATTAACAAACGTATGGGAAATGGTTTTCACTTTTCTTAAATTAAATATTTTGTATTTTTAATAATTTAATAATGAATGTTAAGATATTGCAATATTTAACGCCTCCATCTTCCTCTTTTTGTTACTTTCAACAATAACTCAAACGAGAATGGATAAACGAAAGAGCTCTAAAGCGATCATTTTTTTTTTACAACATTAGATAAATATTCATTATTTAAAACAAAATAAGTGGGGGAAATTCACTGAAAAACCACTTAAAATTGTTATAACTTTCGCTCAAATTGGAATTTTGGAAAAAACTCTGGTTAGGTTCATAAATAGAAAATGGTCCTCTTAACATGTCAAATTAAAATTTCAACTCTACAGTAGCATTTCCGTGAGTTGCAGAGAAGCCCACACAGCATTTTTTACTACAAGTTAAACAGTTAATAATTCTCGAATTAATTATCAAATTTTAAATTTTTTTTTTTAATTTCAACTTATTTTCTATACATTATTTACACCCCTTAGTAATTTCAAGTCTTTTGGTTTTGCTTAGTAAAATAAAATAAAACACGAAGTTGAACACCCCACACAGCTTGGCGGCTCTTAATAAAGAGAAACAAAACTTGAGTTAAATATGGAAAATGATTTTTGGGCAATAAAATTTCAAAAAGTCATAATTTTAAAATTTCCATTTCTCAACAACTAATTGACTGATTCTATTCAAATTTCTAATTTAACATTTAAAATTACATTGCATAAAATGATGAAAAATTTAGAGTACTTTTTAGTTCAAAAACTTACGACCATTATCGGTACCATAATAAGTAATTATGACAAATTATTTTTAACATGGATTTATCTTTGAATAAATAAGTTTTGCAAATAAGAAGGAAATTTTTTTTAAAATTCGTTTAGGAACTTCTAGAGGTATGGGGAAATATGCAAAACTTACAATTAAAGCCTACAATTATTCAGAATCCTATTTTCTCGATTATGGATCAAAATCAAAATCTAAAAAAAAAAGGTCATTTTAGCCAGAAGGTGTAAGTTTTTGCGTGTCTGATTTCGTAACCTAAAAAATCGTCTGCAAATTTTAAATTTATTAAAAAATTAGAAGTTTATTTGAAGTATAATAGCATAAGTAACTAAATAAAAGTGCGAAATACAGCTATCTATCATAGATTTTAAAAACTAATTGTTTCTAAGAATGTATGGTTATTTTTTGTGATACTTTGAATAGTTAAGGCGAACTTTAAAAGCAAGATGAAAGAATATTTTTCACCAAATAAAGATGTATTGTTAATTACTCCATGTTAAGTCTATAAGGAAATTTTTATTCAATTTTTCTTTATAGAGAACTTTGGCTACCAACCAATCACAGACTACAAACCAACATACGAGTTTTTAGTCCACCCTTATGAATAACATCGATTGCTTTAATCCTCTCTTAATTATTTGTGTAGTGTGAGAAAAAAGAACATTTTTAAAATTATTGTAAGAAGGTATTATCTTTGGATAAATGAGGCTCATATAAAAAGTTTTTAATTTGCTTAATACGTTCATGATATATAAGGATATAAGCAAAAAGTTAAATAAAGGAGATAAAAATATCGATCCCTGTTCTGACTATATTATGGGGAGCATATTTTCCAGACTGCATCTATTATGATGGTCAAATGTGCAAATCTGTTGGGCTAAGGTATGTTTAGTCTCAGAATTAGGTTATTTATAATCTAATAAAAATTAGCACAAATTAATTAACATGTTTGAGATCAACACTTCGATCCATTAAGAGCAACACTTAATTATGTACTTGGAACTCGAGAAGAAGAATACGTGAAAGCCTAATCTAGTGATTCAAATCATATTTAATGAGGACGGGACAGCCATGCCAACCAGCACCTGGTTGGCATGGTGCTGGACTCATGTTAGTGTGAATGGGAGTTCGAATCCAACCGGCCAAAGTAGTAAATGGTGACTGGTGCACGTTAAATTTATCGGGTAACAGTTCCTCTATGTTTCAATAAAAAAAATTAAACCTTTGGGGGTACTGAATTGGAGATTGATCGTTGTTTGGCTCACGTCAAAATTACGATCTGTGGACGAGTGAATGGGTCCACCCTATAAAACTCGTGAGACATATGGGTGTGGCAGAAGTCGAATTCGGGGTCATAGATCGCACCCTCTCTGCCTTAATGGCTGACAACAACAACAAATCATGTTTAATTGGATACCTGTAAGCGACGTCACACATTTGTGTTGAACCTGATTGACTTACCCAAACTGATATCATTCACAAGTATCAAAATAGCATGATAAAATGCAATCATTATAAAAATAAAATTATTCAGTGTGTTTTTCTTTTCCTGACTCCCACTTGGAAGGAAAGAAACATTTTTAAACAATACAACTCTTAATTGACATGACGAAAATGACTAACAACATAAGAAAATTTATTAACAAAAATTATATAGGTACAAATAATTTTTATCTAACTTTTATTCCAATCTATGATAGTAAAAATTGAAACTGTATTAACTAAAGCGAAATGTACAGTTGCATTTTAGTTTGAACTTTAAAAAGTATATGGTTGGTACATAAAACTATAATTGATATATTTTGCAACATATTTTAATTTATACTTAAACAAGGTAAATTTTAACTTAAATAACTTTGCTTCTCAAACCTAATATAAATATAATATTTCTGCTTTGTTTCTGAATATAAACAAAAGCAAACTCAGTAGTTTTTTTGAAGTGATTAATACAGCAAATAATTAATGCAATTAATATTTTCTAGGTGTCAATAATATTTTTTCAATGTTGGAATATTTATTTCCATGTTGCATTGATTTAATTATACTGGATTAATTTTTCATTCAATATATTTGTTATTAGTGTAAATTATTTGGATTGAAGAAACAGTGAACATAATTTAAACTAAAGCAAAAAATAATTGTCATTCTAAATTATATAATTAAAACTCAATTCAAAATGCTTGAAACTCAATCAATAAGCATCAGACAGAATTATAAAACAACTTAATATTTAATCATGTAAAAGACTAGAATAAAAATTTAAAATTCGTAAAGTTTCAAATGATCACAGAGTTTAAACTAAGTCTATTAACAAAAATAATCAATATGCAAAAAAAAAAGGAAAAAAATCAACAAAAACTAAAAATTTGTATTAGATCATAATTTTGTATTAACAAAACACATTATGAGATAGGGTTTAAGAATCTAGTTTAGACCGATTTTAAGTATGAATATACAGCACAGCGTCGATTATTTGGATCAATCAGGACAAAATTCGATCGGATTAATAAAAAATAAAGATAAACAACCAACTTTTTTTTTAAATGACTACGAGCTAAGCAACTCCTTTTGACACTTTTTCCAGGCTTAGGACTGGCAATTAGAGTAATGCCTATTATAGCATGCTAAAAATGGGGTGTTTAAAATATTAAACTTTTTTTTTTACAAAATTAATTGACAAAATGGGTTTTAAAACTAAGAGAGAGAGCATTTCAAAAAAAAAAATTTCCTTCCTTTTTCTAATTTTTGGAAAAGAGAGCTTCTTTTCAAGGTCAATAAGGGGCAAAAGAAGGCAAATTATTTTTACCCCTTTCGTAAAAAAGTATTTTCGCTAGTTGTTTAGTAAAAAAAGAATTTTGGAGAAGGTTTGAAATATTATATTGTCCTTGACCAATCCGGATAATTGGACAATCCAATAAATCAGTGTTTGGATAATCGTCACTCTACTATATTATAATATATAGAAATATTATTTCTGAAAGAAAAAAAATAATAAAAATAAAATTATAAAACAATAAAATTCAAAATACAGAACTGGCTATAAAAGACAATTGATAAACCTAATATTAATATGTATTTTAATAAAAGATTCAAACTAACCATTCAAATTATCAAAGGGTTTAAATGGGAGTGATGCTTAGAGAACTACTGATGCATTCTTTTAACATGCCTTAGCAAAGTAGATCTCCACCTGAATAATTCACCACATAATCTGCACTCTTGAGAGTCTTCTGAATGCATTTTCTGGTGTTGCTTTAGAAGCCGTTTGGCTTTAAAAGTTTTTGAACAAGTCGGACACGGAAATGCATGTCCATAATGAGTGAATAAGTGTTCCCTGAGGGTTCTGTAATGAGTGAATCCCTTTCCACAGAAACGACAAAAATGGTCATTATCTGAAAAAATATAAAATAATAGTCATATAATTACAGGATTGATCACATTGAATGAAAAATAAGGTTCATCTATAAAGTCAGTTTAAAAAAATAAAAAAAAGTCAATTAATTCTAAAGCAAGCATAAAAGAAACAACAACAAAAATTTCATGCTAAATTAATCTCTTAGCATAAAATAATATTTATTTTTTAGCTAATAGTTCTAGAATACCTATAATATCATTCTATCATTTAAGACACAGATTTTAAAAAAAAGCCTTATATTTAAGATGATTTTTTAAATCTTTGTTCAGCAAAATGATTTCAATGACTACTATTCAGAATAACCTAAATATATCAGAATGTAATTGTAAATTAAAACATAATATGAACTAAGATTTTTAAACTAATTTAAAATTATTCTGCTGGTTTCATACACATTTTTAAAATGAAATCATTTAGCTGTCTAATAATTTTTACTTTTGGGAAGAAAGAAAAAAACAAAACACAGAATTTCTTTTAATTTTTCTATATTAACTGACTTTTCAAAGATTTAGAAGAAATGAAAATTCATTAAAAAAAATTAAATAAAATAAAAAATAAATAAATAAAAAGAGAAAAGGTAAAAAACAGAGAGAGAGAGAGAGTGAAATAACAAAAATCAACAATTTAAAATTTAATATAGAAAGCACATCTTATAATAAAAGCACATTTCAATATGTAAGCAAGTCTAATTATTTGTATAAAAAATATTGTATATAATAAATTATATAAGTTTAATAAATGCAGTACTATAATTTTAATATAATGTAAAAAATATTTGATAACTTAATGACAAAAGCAGGTATTGGATTTAACACACACATAAAACACAGCATTAGATTCAATAATAATGTAATCCTAATTTTCATTAAAGTTAAGAACTATTAATACAGTATACTAAATAAAACTAAGACTCCAAAATTTCATTTATTTAGACTTATAATACAATATTTGTAAGTAAGTAAGAAGTTAACTAGGTATTTAGTATTTTTTCTTATATTTACCTATCACAAAAAACTACACAAGGTTATAACAATGCATAGTATGTGGTGTAAAATGTTTAGCAGTAAATATGGTGAGTTTTTGAGGAGTACAAGATACCAGTTTTTCTTCGAAATCTACCAATATTAAATAAAAGTTTATTTATAATATTAAAAAAAATTTTAATCAAAGATATTTTATAAAATGATATCAGTTTCAGTTTTAAACATTTATTGCTGAATAAAAAATAAGCATATAAAGTTTTTTTAGATGAATTACAAATCTTAGAATTGCCAAAGGAAAAGTTAACAATAAAATATGTGTGTAACAACAAGGCAATATACAATATACTAAAAAATGACTCGATGTATAGATTTAAAACAAAAGCAAAACTTATATTATTAACTTGGAAATTATTGCACCTGGTCTTCGGCAGAAAGAAATTAGTAGTTGTCTGTTAGATGCGTATCAGACAAAAACATTTAAAAAAAACGTAGAGCTTCACCATCATAGCATATTACTTCATTAATCCTGTCAACATTAATTTTTATTACCATTAATTAATTACAACATTGATTTTTATTACTTTTCATTAATTACAGCATTAATTTTTACAATTTTTTTAATTCACACAAATTAAATAAAATATATAGAAAACATAACAATTCAAGAGAAAAAAAATCTACACAGCAGGCACTAGGTTGGTATAAACACATTATTAAGATAATTAATTTAGCTCAGTTAAAGGTCTCCTAATTCTTAATACTTTAAAAACTTGGCAACCTCTGATACAGATAAGTACCAAATATCTATAGCAGAACAGTTACCTATTTAAAACTTAAACAAGATTTTTTATAGAAATGAGACAAAGTTTACTTCAATATTTAAAACTATAAATTTATAAAAGGATTGCAAATGATAAAGTTCAGAAACCTGATAAGTTTGGGTTGCTCAAATAACTATAATAATTTGACAATTTTAACCCTTGCTTGTGGAATATATTTGATAAAAATGTGACTTAAAGGGAGAGAGAAGAATTTCCTTTTTGACATTTTTTGTTATTATCATCAAAATGTTAGAAATAGATTATTTAAAAAATAATAACAATAAATTTTAAACAAAATAACTACTATGTTCAATATTTTCACATGTAATGGGAAATGTTAATAAACAGGCAAGGAGTAAAATTATTGTTTTAAGAATCAAGTCATGTTCCTAGATTTTAATGCTAAGAGTAATAGCTAAATTTATTCGAGATGTGAGGAAGAAAGGTTGACGGATCTTCACTTTAGCCATTCAGATTGTTCCAAAGCAGCAATCCAGTAATCTCTATAATGATTAGTGTCTTATAACAACATACCCAGAAAAACTTTTTTCACCATTTGTTAAAAAATGAAAAAATTAACTAATTAAAAATGAATAAATAAACTAAAAAAAGGTGAAAATATTTAAACATATTTTAAAAAACAGCCAGCCGATTAAAGTTTAAATAAAAAACAGAAAATGTATCCACAATCAACAAGATAAACTAAGTTTCAACATAATTAATATTGAAAATAATTACAAATTTTAAGACACATAGATAAACCATATATTTTTGAATACTTTTTTAATTTTGTTTCATCAATACAATAACATTGTTGCATTTTACCCTAATGTACTTAGCTACAACTGCTTCAGAAACTTGCTACAACTACAAACTTTTGTCAATCTTAACATGTCTGCTCCCATATTTATTTAAAATTGATATTAATTTATAAATATCAAAATTTAACAGTAAACAGGTGTTAAATGACTTAAAAAGAATTTCGTAAAAAGTTGCAGTAATACAGGATAAAAAAAACTGTTGAAGCATGTTAAAAATGCTGGCGCATAAAATTTCTCCATTCTAAGTCTGAGAAAGTATGATATCAAAAACAAGTAGAAAGATCATAAATAGAAAAAATATAAAATAATAAAGATATCTCATAAATATGGAATAAAAAGAGATAGGGAGAACAAAACTCTCACATCATGACTTTCCAATGATTTCATCACTAAAAACAAGAGGAATTTCTCTTAAGAGGAAAACAAGTTTCAAAAAAAAAAATTTTTGTCTAACAAAATTAAAATTTGTTAATAAAAAAATGAAAATTGTAGTGCACTTTTTTTAATTAGAGTAAGTTAGAAAAATAAAAGGATAAGCTTCTTATTTTAATATTTTTTTGTTTTTGACAGAAAACAGCGAAAATGGCTAAACAGAGATTTTCTAATAATTAGAAATCGCTTTAAAAATAGGAAAATGGAAGATTTTATATACAGTAAAAGATCAAACTACTGTGCCTAATACAAGGAACACTTTGTTATACACTCTAACCCCAAAATTATATCCCTCTCTAACACAGGAAAATTAGTAAGAAAATAAATTAGTATAATTTTAAATGTAATACAAATAGTTAGCATCGTTAAAATCGATAATTTTCATTTAAATTCATATATTGAATACAATAAATGTAGCAAAAAGTGTAATTGAATAGGTATAAATTTCTTTTAAATACAATTAATTGAACCATTGTAAACTTAAAAATTTCATAGATATATTTCTAAAAATTGGAAAAAATTCACGAAACACAAAAACAGACTTTGTTTACAGAATATGGTGTATGACACTTTATTTCTGTTTCTTTAAAATCATCATTGTCAACCCATAAGATGTTAATATTAAGCGGCATGTACAACACCCAAACATATTATTAAAATTCAAAACTTCAACTTTCATTTCAATCAATCAATCATTTAACATTGAACGTCGATCGATCGCTAACGAAAGTAAATGTAAACACGTGAAGGTGTTGCACCAGAAAAGTTCTATAAATTAAATAGAATTGGGAAATTTATCGAAAATGGCATTACTTTTACGTAAAAACTTTAAGGTGGTAAATCTTTTAAGACTAATAAGCTGCAATCAGAGTTTTCGTTCTAGATATACAAATGTTGGTATTAGCCGGTCTACTCAAAATAAACTGTACGCTACCGCAGCTTATAACATCAAGACAAACTATGCACCTAATGGTTTTGACAATAATAACAAATTTAATGGTTTGTCAACTGCAGGTCATGAAGATATTGACAAAGCTTTGAAAGATATTGATTTTGCTGTAAGAAGAACCGGGCGTACCATTATAGAAAGTGTACACAGTGTTTTTCAAACTATTGAAAATACTGGTTTTGCAACTGAAAGTCAAAGTCTATACTTACTTCGTTGCTGTGGACTGTTACGACTCGAATCCCCGGATAAGAGAGTGGATATAGTAAACAAAATATGGAAGAAATTAAAAACACTTGGTGTTAAGTTAGACATTCGACATTTCAATGCTCTTTTGAAGGTATATCTTGATTCGAATGAAAACTTCTCACCTTCAGACATATTAATATCGATGGAACATCAAAATGTTGAACCAAATGTAGAAACTTATTGTTATCTTATTGAAAAGTATTGCTGTGATGGTAATATAAATGGGGCTAACGAGATATTGGAGTTTTTGAAAGAAAAAAATATTCCTGTCAATGAATCTGTGTTTAATTCTCTCATTAAAGGTCACATGAAAATAGGTGATTTGGATGGAGCTAGAGATATCATGGAAGTTATGAGAAGTTCTAATATTTCGCCGTCTTCTCGTACTTATACTACATTAGCTTGCTGTTTTGCTGAAATGGGAAAGTTAAATGAAGTAGAAAAAGTATTAATTGAGGCAGAATCTTTGGGAATATATTTTGAAAATTCTGATTATCTTCAAATTTTGTTATCGGCAGCTTCTAGCAATAACAGTGAATTTATTGATAAGATGCTGATGAAAATGGGTGATATTTATGAATGGCGTCAAGATCTTATAAACACTGCAGCGGATCTAATATATAAAGGTTTAGACGATGTTGCCTTCAAATTGATCATGGAAATTTCGAGTACAGAATATGGCACTGCTACTAATAACTTTTTAAAAATATTAATAAAAGCTGAAACACCGATTGAAAAAGTGATTGGTTATTGTACTGAAATATACAATAGTGGCTATAACAATTTCATTTTTACCAATGGCGCAAAGGCATCTGTCGACAGTGGAAAGCCAGATCATGCAATTGCCTTTTTCACTGAAATGCAACAAAGAGGTATACCAGTCAGAACACGTAATTTCAGACCTCTTTTTATTGCTAATAAATACAATGTTGAAGGTATGTGGAAAGTAATGAAATCAATGGCTGTACTTGGTGTTCCTTTAGATTATATTACTTATAGAGAACATATTTTACCTGCTATTGGTAAGGAAAGTCCTCAGCAATTAATTTCCAAAATCGAGGAATGTGGTCATAGTGTTTCAGGCCTTATTGATCCACTATTTGAATATTATGTATCAGAAGGTGAAATCAATCATGCTTCGTATTTAATTGAAAATTTTTCTGTTAGAGTCAACATGTATTTTAATTTTTCACACTTTTTGTCACTTTACAATAGATTTGTTAAAAATCCAACTACCTATTTCCAAGTCCTGAAGTACATTATGGAAAACCTTGGTTTGCCTGGTCAAGATGTAATTACACTGAGAGGCCAACAGCTTGCTCTATTTCTTCAAACAAGCCCTAAAATTTTTGATGTATTCCACAAATCTTACGTTGGTGTGGATTGCAACTACGATAGTAGAAGTTTAGAAATTTGCAGAAAGAATATTCAAAGGAGTGCCCCTGATCTTTTGAATCACCTTCCTAAGATAAAAGACCAAGGTTTAAAAAGTCGGCCGATGAAAGAAATGTCTATTGAAGAAGAGGAGGAACTGATAAATACATCATCAACTGCTAATAAGCAAAAGGCATTAACAGGCTTGCTTATTCGTCATGTTAAAAAACGTGATATTGAAAGAGTCAAAAACATTCAAAGTAAACTTAATGAACAAAATTTTATCCTACCTCCTACAGCATTTGCTCAAATATTCTTTCTTGAGTGTGAAATGGGTAATCTTGAAGAAGCAAAGAAATGCTTACAAAAGATTAAAGAACTATATCCAACTTTCAAGATAGACACACCAAAACTTATTGATTATGCTAGACTGTTGTTGAAATATTCAAATAATGATGAAGCTATTGCCATCATTAAGAATGAATGTCAAGAAGTCAATAGCTTTTCTGACGCTGACGCATTGTTGAGAAGTTTTCGAAGGTTCCTAAATAACATAGTTCAAACTGGCAACATTGATTTAGCTAAAACAGTGCGAGATTCTGTGATAAATCGTCCAGATTTTTCTTATTTGAAGGAAGTGATAATGGAGCCTGTTGTGAAAATTAATTTGTACAAGGGAGATTTTGAAAATTCGTTGAAAGAGTTTGAAAATTGTGTTGTAAACTATAACTGCTCCCCTTGTCAAAACATGTTTATGAAGAAGCTAATTTTGGCCGATGATCGTTTGAAACTTCAAGCAGTTATTGACTTAGCATCTAAAGTCGAAGGAAACTCACAAGTACTTCATAAACTTGCTTTAGCTTTCTTAGATTTAGATAGGCTCCAAGAAGCTACTAAAATATTTCAAAGTCTAGGTCGAGATATTAACTATAGATTTTTAGAAGAAATTGCGAAGGGATATGTTTCTGAAAATAAAATTACTGCATTAGAGAACCTTTTGGGTGTTACTTCGAATTTGAAGCATGAAAGTAGGGAAGTACTATATCATCTCCTTATAGCTAATTATTGCAAAAAAAACCAGTATGAAAAATGTTCTGAAACCTTAGATAACATGAGAAAGGAAAACATTGCACCAAGCGATGAATACAAACAACTGATTAATCTTTTATGCACACGTAACAAAAAACCTTTGCATTTCCCAGATATCCTAGACAACAATAGCAGTGGGGCTAACATTGTATCAAGTAATAACAAGGGAGCTAATGACTCACTATTGAGCAATACTGTATCAAGTAGTAATGAAACATTATCCTTTTTGAATTTTGTGCTTCAAGGAGATGGAGAGCAAGCTTTAAAAGAGCTTAAAATTATGAGAAAGGGATATATTCGAAGCATCCCATTTCAAGATATGTCTAATTTTATTGAGTTAGTTAACAAAAATAACTCTTTGAATAATTTAGCAGGTAATATTCAAGCCATGAGTTACATCATAGAAAATTCAGGGGAAATCTTTAAGCCTTTGTTGGAAAAATACTCTAATGAGGGAAATGTTGAAGCTATGATATCCCTTGCCAGTATTTTTCCTGACTTCGCTCTTAAAAAAAGTTTTTTCAATTCTTTTCTTGCTCGAGCTTACTTGAAGAGCAACCGACCTGAAGATTTACTCTCCGAACTAGAAGCTCGTTCGAATAAAAAGAACAGGCTATTTTCCATCACTGCCTTTCATGAGTTATTAAAATTTCCACATCTTGAAGATAGAGTTGTTGAATTAGCCAAAAGTTATTTAAATACTAGTAGTTTTGATCTTCCTCTTACTGTTGTGTGGTCTCATTATTTCAGTTCTGAGCAGTATGAGAAAGCATACGAAATCAGTAAAGTTACCCCTATTCCAGTGGATAAGGTTGATGCTGTTATTTTCCGACGTGTTCAAGAAGGAGAGAACATTGAATTGGGAAAGAGATATGTCGAATTTGTTTCATGCCGTGATTATAAAGATCGTGTTAAAGAAAGAGCCTATGGTATGCTGCTTGATTTACTTGTTTTAAAGCAGATGCATGATGAAGCAGTTAACCTAGTTATGGATGCTAAATCGAAAAATGTGAATCTGGAGAAACATTATCAGTCCACATTATCAACTTTAAAAAGTTCTCTCGAACGAGAAAGTAAACCTGTTCCTTTTAGTCTTGATGTTAGTAATGACTCATAACTTATGACTGTAATGAACATTTTATACTTTTTATTATAGTTATTCAATTGTTAAGTTACCACTTCGTTTTATTTAAAAGCTTTATAAAGCTTTTCAGTAGGCATGTTTAGGTTGCTTAACTTAGCAATTGTAAATAGCAGTTTTGAGTGCATAAGATTTATAAACTATTATCAATTTATTTTTGTTGCTGAAACATTTTGACACCTCTAATTTACTGTGAAAAAGTCACTTTAAACTTACGTAAACATGTATAGTCAACCCCACTTAACAAGCCCTTCATCTCTGGACCGAAGTCTACTCTGAAAGTGGTGGAGACGGGAGGCTTCTAAATATGCTTTTAATCCTCTTTATTTAATTTTTACAAATGAACTGGTAATGGATGTTTACTCTATTTTGCAGTATCTTTCGATAAATGTAAAATATAAGGCCGTCACCCAATCATAATTTGAAATATAAATTGTCCAGTATTTTAGATTCTCTATTAATTTTTTGTGACAAAATTATGCCAATACAATTTTAAAATCAACAGTTTTTGATAGGTAATTAAATAGTATACAGTTACTTGATTTTTTAGTATCTTTGTTTTTATGGAATTAACAGTAAAGGAATTTTTTAGCATTGTCCAAATTGGCTTTCGTCAGCTTGAATTGTAATAAAATTAGATTTTATAAAATCTAAAATTTGAGAAACGTGTAAGTTAAAATTACTTACTCAAAGCCATAAATTGCATTAATTTATTGCAATAAAGTTTTCAGAAAAATATCATAGAATTTCTAAAACTATCAAACACTATTTTTTCTAATCTAATAAGTGACAATTCTATTTTCTACTTTTTTTAAAGGTATTGTGCTATCTAACAATACTATTGCATTAAAAGTTTGTTAAATACAAAAAATATCAAGAAAACACGTATTAAAAATTTTACTTAAAGCCTAAGATGGTGAAGATAGATGCTTCTTAAAGAAACTTTCACTTCAAAATGTAAAGAATCACTTTCTCTTAGAAGCGTTCTTAGAATTGTTACTACGAAAAAATTCCTATGGGGAAGAGTGAAAGGAGAATCCACACTATTTTAAAGATCATTTATGATTGGAGCTGTTTGTGTCCAGTTGGTGATAAAAAAAATTCCTCTTTGCTCAATTAAACGAGGACTGCAACTGTAAATAATCGTTTAAACGATAGAATTTAACATTGTTTTGCCTTAGTTCTTTAAATTTTATTCATATAACCGAGTTATCCGATATGCATCTTAAGTGGGAACAACTGTAATATTAATCAAATGAGATATCTTTATCATTGATTTATTTTGTATATCTGTCATTAAAAAGTTTTAAATTAAAAAGATTTATAATTATTTGTTTATGTTTTCAATGTCATTTATATACATGTAAACAGTTAATTTTATCTTATAACGAATGATAAGTCTCTGCTAAAAATATTTTTAAGTAGTAATTAATTAATATATATTTATTAGGATGCTCAGAGCTTTGCTCACCAACCTTGTTAATTTCTTTTAATCATTTTTTGATAACTAATTGTTTACAATAAATAAGTTGTTCCATCAAAATTGTAATTTATTCAATAAAGATTCCAAAAATTTTTTATGTTTTAACATAAATTTAGTTTTTTAAAAAATTTTTTTAATATCATTTAAACTTAATCATATTGATCCATTTATTCCCATGAATTTATTGCCTGATCGAGAAAGTGCGTTTCCCAGAACAAATAATTGCATGTAATTTATTTTATTCAAATAAGTTCAAATCTTTGTTCAACCAGCATGGGCAAGAACATTTATGAAGGCAACTTGTTCACTTTTTTATTTAATTATTTTTAATAATTAAGTGGAATTCATGCTAAATGATCTGATTAAAATGTTAATAATAACATGAAAAATTTGAATCTCACTCATAAATCTAAGATATCAAGGATGATCATACTTTGCTTTGAAAACGCAATATAAGCAAACAGATAATACTGAAAATTTGTTATATTTCATTAAGTTTTAGAATGCTTGTTGTTTATGCGTTTGGTAAATCATCAATTTTTTCACTTTCCAAGTTGTCTGCATTGTCAATAACTCATAAATAAATTAAGGGACATAAAAGTATTTCCTTTAATTTAAAAACATTTACATTTTGATGATAAAAATAATTATAAATTGCTTTTTTATTATAGAATGGTATTGTTAGAAAATAATTAAGAGCAAAATTATTAAAAAAATTTAATAAATTAAGGGACATGAAATTTGTCTTTATTCTATATATTTTGGCTAAAAACTTATATTTTCCCTGTGTAGTTTAAAGAATCAATCATATTGCCTCTGTTTTGCTCAGGCTATCATTCGGAAATGAGAGCGATTTGCTTGTAGTTTGTAAACATATCTATATGAGTGCAGATCAATCGTATGCAGTGAAGACTTGGATGAAGAAAAGCTATGGAAAATATGCATTCCCTTTTTTCAAAGAATATACTTATTTTTATTGAATAATGTGTTTCAATCAGAGGAAAACTAATAAAGTTCTACTACACTTATTTTTAAAGGAAAGGTTTAGTGAGTTTGAAATGTATATTAAAGTGCTTACGCCAAGTATAGATTGTTGCTGAAAGGAACAAATAATTATATAGATTATAAATGTGGCTATAGAGCTACTATAATAGGTTACTGGTGAAATTAGGACAGTGATCTAAAATAGGATTAGCATCTAAAATGTTACCATGATTTACAGTTTAAATCTTAAATTCTTAAAAAAGGAATCAAACTACCAGGTTGTCGTGGAACTGAAAGGAAAAATCTATCGACGAAGGTCGAGAAATAAAGTTTTGTCGTTTTAACAAATCTATAAATACAAAAAAATAAGATTCTATTTATTTGCTATTTCAATTCAGTATATTAAAAAATTCATATTTAAAGAATAATTCTCATGAAAAATAAGTGATGTAAAAAACTTAATTTAACAAGATAAAAATTTCACAATTAGAATTGGATCAGACACTCAGATTTATACTAAAATATGTGACTAACTGCTTATTACTCCTGTTTTCAACATAGTCTATTTTTTCTCTCCTTGTTTTCCTTTTTTAGGATTCCGTTTATGACTGCAAATCATTAATGAGGCGAGCGAGATCGAAAGCATATAAACTCATTTAGTTGGTAAGAATTTTATTAGAAACCCACTGAAAATTTACATGCAATCACATTGATTTTTGAATTAGCTCTCTATAATAGTGATTCGTTTGATTGTAAAAAAGCTTTTGATTATTTTGATAAAGCTATTGAAATTAATGACCTACAATTGCATACCACCAAGCATCATTTTTTGCAAGGACAAATCAGCCCGAATAATAAATAATCTAATGGGATGGTGGTAACATTTTTAAATCCTGATGGATAACAGAGAAACTCGTAGGTTCCGGAATTGAAAGCGAATAAAATATGTTTCTAAAATCCAATAAGACAAATTTTAATCAATGTTTTTCAACCAAGCATCAGTAAATTATATTTTATTACGTTATCGCTACGTCACTATTTTTATAACAAATTTGTTTTAAGTGGAAAAATTTATTACTGTATGATTGAAAAAAAATCAGAATTTCAGTCTCATTTTGCTGTAATTTATTATAAATCTCGCATTAAAAAGGAAATTTGTCTCAGAGAATAAAAGAGAGGGAAGGTTTAACATGGAACAAATGTTTCAAGTGGCGTTAACAAACATAGAGAATTAAACATGGGAACACAGGTTTTCTAAGCAATACTTCAGTTTTGCAGAAATAGGCAGCTGTTCTATCTAACAACAATCAATCAATCAAAATTGCAACCTGAAACTAGAAGCTTTTTAGATCATCTTTAGACGCGGTTGAGATTTTAGTCTTTATTTGGATTTGAAAATTATATTGTCCTACAATCATGCTTAATCATAGAAGAGGGCGAAAATGTTTTTTACTACTAATGTGTTAGTAATTATCGAAAATTTAAATATCATTATTGAAACATTGATTTATAGATTATTTTTACATTATAAAGTTGTTATAAAGAGAGCGTTCGCATTAATTTAAGATACTTTGAACTTATCCCATTAATTATAGTGAAATTCTCAGCTTATTGTCATCATAACGAACATTTTATTAGCTGCACTTATTATTTTAAAATATTTTAGCTTAGTTATTGTTACTCCATAATCTTACTGGATCAAATAATTTTCCATAAGTGAATAATCTAGTTCAGTGATTCTCAACCTTTTTTTTGTGACGGCACACTTTTAACGATTTCGAAATTTGACGGCACACAATGAAAAAAATTAGTTTAAAAGTTATTTACTTAACTATAATACACTGTGTTAAATAGTTTGTGATAATAATTTTGAATGTGAAATGAAGTACTACAAAAGCACATTTATTAAGGGATTAATTATTTCTTTCGACTAATTTTTTATTAGTTAATAACAGTTATTTATGTTTTTTGCTAGTTATTAATTGTTCGCTTGTTTTCTATAGCTCCTTTTTTTGCTGATTATTAACTCTTGTCAACTAGTGTTTTTGCTGATTATTAATTGTTAGCTTATTTTTTGTTAGTTTTTTTTTACAACTTTTAATTGCATAGCTTACTTTAATGATTAGCCTTTATTTAAGTTTGAAAGTTAATATTTAGCTTTGCTTTCCTTTGATAATTAATAATTTTAATGATCATTAAATTTCCTACTTATTTCAACATTTTTTAAAATTGTCAACGACAATTTAAACACTTCCTTCTTATTTTAAGATTGTCAGAGACAAGACAATCGCTGACAAAGATGTTCCCGCGGTTAAAGAGTGGAAAAATTATAATATACACTTTTCTTTAATTTAAACTTTACTCGTAATTAAAAAAGCATTATAATTTTTACTGTATCATTTCTAATATTTGGCGGCACATTTTAAGAATTTGGCGGCACACAAAAGTGCCGCGGCACAGTGGTTGAGAATCACTGATCTAGTTTATCTTTAATCAAGCGCAATCGTACTTTATAGAACAACTATTTGAAGAATTTGTTCAAATCTCAATCGTAAAATAATGTGGATTATTAAAAATATTTTGACAAGTTTTTTGTTTTTAATTTAGCTATTACACCATTTAATATTGATATACAAAATACTATTTAAAAACAGTTACTTTGCTTGCTTAGCTCTAATTTTATCAAACGTTCTACTCACCAAGTAATGTGTTTAGTTTTTTTTTTTTTTTTAGTTCATTACCATGTAATTGTGTCAATTTCCTTTTTGTAATTTAGTGTTGTATTGTTTATTAAAAATAAATAGTAATTTAATATTTAATTCATATCACTTGTTTAGGTGTTTCCCTCAGTTTTCTGTTTGAAATCGTTGAGAGCAGTAAGAAATCCAAAGTTGCTAAAGCTGTAGTCAAGTAATGTAACATTTCTTTACAATTTACTCTATTGTTTGTTTATATTTTTTTCTTAAAAAAGCCGCTTAATTTTTATATTATTATCCTCTTGGTGTAAAAAATAAAAATCATACATTTCTTTTTAACATGCTTATAAAATTATGCGTTATTAATTTTTTTTATATATATGTATAAAATTATGTGTTAAAATAATTTCATTCCTAACATTAAGAATGCTAAGAGTAACATTTTAAATTTTATTTATGCTTTTTTTCCATATTGCTTCATTTATTTATTTCTGTTTTATTTGTTTTATTTTATTTTGTGATGCTTAGTAACTGCACATTATTTATACTTTTGCCATTAATTTGTTACGTTCAGCTTCTATTTATTTTAACTTTTCAGTTTTAGGATTTCATGATTTACTAAATAGCTTTTTTTTTACAAACTTTGCTGATCTGGATGATGCATTTTCATAATAATTGTGTTAACTAATGGTAAGAAATCTGATTTTTTTTAATATTTTATTATTATTCCTTTGTTTTTTTAACATTTTCTTTGCTAGTAATTTTGTGTAAATTTATTCTTAAGTATTGTTATTTGAATAATAAATTTTTAGAAAATGTTTTGAATTTTTCTGTTATTAAAGAATATGTCATGTTTAAACGATGATATAATCTTATTTATTTAGGGGCGTGGTGGAACGAAAATTGCATAAATCTCATTCCAGTAAGCATTCTATTATTTATATTCTACCTTACTTATGAAATTGCTAACATCAATGTATGCAGGTTCATTCATTGAAATGTGCCAAGCCTATGCAAACAGAATGGGACTTTTTTTGTTTGTATTAATTTTTATTTAAATTAATGTTCATGACTACATTGAGTTACTTAAATTATTCATTAAAATTTTTAGGTTCTTTTTTTAGCATTTTATACTTTATGTTTATTTAATTTTAATATGGTCATCCA